AAAAAAAAAAAAAAAAAAGCAATGAAATAATTGTCTTCACAGTCGTTTATTTTTACAAAAAAAGATTAATTGTCCCCAAATTTATTTCCAGAGATGTGTATCACAACGTCAAAACACAAGTCCCCCAGAGGGATGTGAAGCCGAACCTACCTTAACTGAACTAGTTCCTATGACAACAGGTGTTTCCAGAAATGAACAAGAAAGTGGAGAAAATGTATTGAGTCAATTAGTAAAAAATAGTTCATTTCCATTATCTGCTGAAATGTCACCGAAACCAGGTCCGAGTGGTTGTCATGGTAACCTCTTAGAACCATGTAATAATTTGTCCATATTAACTATTGAACAGCATAAGCCTGAAACAACCTCCATCACCTCTGTTGACATTTCTACTACAAGCATTGAGCCGAATAACAGTATCACCCAAGAACAAGCTATTTATAACTTTGCTGCTATGCAACAAAGCATAGCCGTCCAAGAAGAAATTGATAATGACAATAATGATCTCAGTATAGATGATGATGTAGATCTTAGTTCTCTTGATTTAAGGGATACCATAGCATTGAGTTTAGCTCACAACCAACAATACCAGGTAAGAATAATTGTGAGGGTTAAAAGAACGACCATTCAGTCGCTTGGCATGATGACTGGCCAAATTAATGTTAGGGGGCTTTATTAGTGCATGGGGGATGGGAGGGGGGTGGGGTGGGGGCGGCAAAGCACATGGAAGGCTTTACAAACTTAACCAAACCTCACCTGCATAATAGAGGCAACAATATTGCCCTTTCATCACCATGAAATACTTCTCAACCCCCATTGATACATATGTGATAGCCCCTCTTACCACTTTCTCGAAATAATGACAGACAGACATATTTTATTTGGCGTTTTGTACAAAGTTGCACATCAACTTAGTTCCAAATAAGTTACAAATATATACGTATGTTTATGTATGTGCATAATATCGATATTTACATATTCCACACATACACGTGTAACACCCACTACAATTTTGCCCCCCCCCCCCCCCCCCCTACCCCCATATGCTCAAATAAATGAAATCACCCTTAGCTCAGTCACAACTCATTTCTGGCTCAACAGTACTGGTAAGAATGACCAGTAAGGCCCAGATTTAACTGGATAAGTGTCAATTTTGGCCAGACATTGTCCAATGACTTACTGTTTTGTTAGCCTAGAATACCTGGTAAAATTTACAAGTGAAAATCACAAGTATTGGATAACTTCAACAGCAGCCATCTTGGCTGACAAGGCTTGATGGGGCATCTAGGGGAGCTAATAACGCTTTGTTACAGTAATGACGTTGATTAATATTAACTGCTCGCCACAAGAGAATACAATAAAGATGTCATAATGATCACATTTACCCATGAAAGAAAGACACAGAACTCTATATATTATTCAACAACAAACCAACAAACAAACCAACAAACTGTACTTACATATGACGAGTATGAAGATGGAACCTGGTCGCATTTGTGAGGTGAGAGCTCTCACCATTATTCCACCCATGCTTCCCTAATATTCTTTTTCATTGTAGTCTCAGATTCTCAAGGAACTGTGTGGTATTGAAGTAGCATTAGAAGATAATAAAATGAAACAGGTCAGTCTTACAGGAGTCAGGATAATGTGGGGTTATAAAAGTGCTCACCTTTCACCTCTAGTTTGTGGTTTAACTGTAGAGTTTGATTCCCAGTCACCCCGTGTGAGCTGAATTTTTTTCTTTTTTTTCTATTTCAGAATTTGATTTTTTTCATTTTTCCCTCCTCTCAAATAACACATTATGTTAAACTGGTTATACTGCTCCAGTAATCATGTTTATTCTCATGGGAACATTCTCATCATCATCATTATCCAAGTAATCATCATCATTATTATCATCAATATCATCAAAATCATCAACCCCATTATCATTAAAACCTTCATCAAAATCATCATCATCAATGACATGATAATCACCAACATCATCAACATCATCACCATCATCATCATTGGCATAATAATCACCATCATCACTAACATCATCATAATCATCATGAGACCATCATGACATCAACGTCATCATTAGCATCATAATTATGTTATTATTTATTGGTGTTGATATAATTTTCCATCAGATGAGTCTAAGTCAAGCAAAGCTCACTGAAGAAGAAGAAATCCAACAAGCACTACCTTCTTTGTACTTGTTTTCTTCTCCATACTTTAGAGATGCTGATGGCCATGTAAGTTGCAGCTTTTTCAAGATATTATTATRATTATTGCTATCATTATTATTACTTACTGTAACAATTTATTATTTGCTGATGTAGTCAAAGTGAAWATCAGCTGGGAATATTTGCGGAGCAGTGAGTCTTCAATTGAAATATTCCCAATAATGATTGAGCTTCTGAGTTGAATAATARAGACTTGCACTAACAGGTCACATGACCCTACCCAGGGGCAGATCCAGGGGAGGGGTGCAGGGGGTGTGCACCCCTCCCTGGTTCCACCTTGTGCCCCTACTTCGAAGGTAACCAATACCATCTTTTACCCTCGATTCTAAGGGGTGCACCCCTCCCTTGGTTAACTTTGTGCGCAGCACCCCTCCCTGAAAAAAATTCTGAATAAAATACCTCCGAGCAGTTGTGTGAAAACAAACTTTAGAAATCAAAAGAGCATCTCAAATTTAGTAAGAGGGCGAGGTTTCAGCTCATAATGTTGACTATAGGATAAATGGCATTAAATATAAAATGGAATATTTTATAAGGATTTGTATGGGGAAATTTCCTGGCAGACCATCATTTTTTCACGTGCAAATTGTTATAAGACATTTGATTTTATATTTAATGCCGTTTTCCTGTTTCGCTTGTTATGATCTAAAACTCCGCTGCCCTACTAATATGGAGGTGCTCTTTTCATTTCTGTTGTTCATTTTAACACAGCTGCTCGTTTTAAGGGAGATAGGGTCACGTGACCTGTTAGTGCGAGTCATCTATTGTTTTAGTATAATTTTAGATTTGAATTATAAGAGAGCAAAGACAAAATGTAAAATAATTGGGGAAAAAACATTATAGTGTTACTTCTGCTCCAGATGGCAAACATTGCAAAACCTCAAAATCACCATTGGAGCAGTGAATATTGTCTCAGAACCGGTGGTCGCTTGACCGATGACAGAGCACGAAACTCTAATTATATTCATTTCTAAAATTGTACTTGATTCATTTATTAATTATTATCATTTATTTATTATTTATTACCGTGTATTTATTGGTTTCTTCAGGG